TGCACAGAAGGAATTAAGAAGATCAGCTAACTAAAACACAAATGGGTAAGAGCAGCACTGCACCAAAAAAAAACCCCAAACCTTTTTCATAATAGAACAATAATTTTGCTCAAGATCACAATGTGCTTTGTGGGGATGATCTGTCAGGAGCTAAACCGTGTATGTAAATGAGCAAAAAAGCAGTTCCAAACATGCACAGCTGAAGCAGAACGAACAAAGCCTCATTCCTGGCGTATGCTGGAAAAAGCAAGATTATCCTGAGCTTGGTTTTGTGCTCCCCATTCCTGGCGTCAGGAGAGTAACATAAATTAGATGGGGAGGTGGACACAGCTGTTATGTCAGCACAAGGCTTCTCCCATTTTTGAACAATGACCTGAGAAACCAGAGGGTCAGACACAGACTTTGCTGGCCCAGCTCCTGCGATTTAAACTGAAGGCAGAAGTTGGCTACACAGAAGAGGCAGAGCTAATGCAAGCAGTGACCACAGAAAAGAGCAGTGAGACATTTAGTAGGAAGCACAGATCATATCAGGATTATTGCTAACCATTGAATGCTTGTTTGCTACTCAGTCATTAAACTGAGCACGGTATTTAGTTACTTCTCAGGTGGTTAGAGATTAAGAAAATCTCACACATCTTACCTTGCTGGTGAGCTTATGGCTATTGACACGCCTCACATGATTAGCCAGTTTGGTTATATCCTTGCCATTGAGTAGCCGAAGGTTTTCCAAAAGAAACATTACTTTATAGTCATCGTTGATCTAGAAAGAGAAGATATCAGAGCCACAAAAATTACACACACGGTACTTGCTTTAGCTTTAGCCCTTTATTAAAATACAGCCAAGGATAAGAAGAATACGTTTAGTCAGGAAAAGCCATTTCATAGAATTTTCTGAGCGTTTCCGAGTTGACTATCACCTTTTAGTTGTAAATTAACGTTTATAAGGTTTAGTTGTACATTAACTCCTACGAGCTGGGATCTTAGACTGCAGACAAACGCCCAGCCTCACCCTTCTGCAGTACTGACATCCAACACGAGGTGGTGGGGGTGCAACCAGGCCCATCTGCTCCAGCCCCTGCACAAGGCAGGGTGTTCTGGTCACATCCTTCAACTGGGAGTGAGCATCTCATGCAGAAGAAGGGCTGTCCTGCTGCAGTAACCGAGAACCAGCAGGGCTTCTCTGGCTCATGGGCATTTTAGGTTCCCCAGTCCAGTCTGCCATACAGCCACACATGTAGTTCTGCCTGCACGCAACAGCATCTGGGGACAGCAACCGTGGCTGACACCAGCTTAATGCACAAATAAAATTAGTTTTGGATGCTTAAACTGAGGAAACACCAAGTTTAACCCCTCATAGAATGGTTTGGGTTGGAAGGGACCTTAAAGACCACCTAGTTCTAACTCTCCTGCCCTGGGCAGGGACACCTCCCACCAGAGCAGGTTGCTCAAAGCCCCATCCAACCTGGCCTTGAACATCTCCAGGGATGGGGCAGTCACAGCTTCTCTGGGCAAACTCACCACCCTCAGAGTGAAAAGTTTCTTCTTAATATCTAATCCAAATCTCCCTTCTTCCTGTTTGAAGCCATTACCCCTCGTCCTATCACTACCTGCCCTCGTAAAAAGCCCCCCTCCAGCCCATCACAGGGCCAAGTCTGCTCTTCCAGAGCACAAGGGGCACTAAAACTAGCATGCAAGAAGGACATGTCTACACAATCATTACTATATTTTACACAAGGATGAGCATGAGATACCCTGTTTGATAAGCAACCTAAGATGGGACTCTGGCCTGGAGAATCAGGAGTTAACACCCAGATTTTAATACCCAGTGGTTTTGGGCACGTCACTTCTGCAAATTGGGAAAGAGCGGCACAAACTGGTGAAGGGGTGCAAAAAGACTGGCTGCTTTCTCAGATAGCCCTAACACTTGCTGCCTAAGAACAATATACAAGAACTAGGCGTAACTGCTGTTTGTTTCCCCCTCTATTCAATGCTTGGCTGGTAAGGAGGGGAGGTAACTCACTGTCAAGTACACGTTGTTCTCATAGGTTAGCTCCTCCAGCAGTGGGAACTGTTTCAGAGCAGTTACATCTTCCAGTCTGTTGTTGTTGCAGTTTAGGACGCGCAGATCAGGCAGGGTTAGACTGTTGGGAAATTTGTCCAGTAAATTGTCAGAGAGATCTAGTTTCTGCAGATGCCTCAGGCGGGAAAACAAACGCGGGTCTAAGTCTCCAGTCTTCAGTTGCAGCTTGGACAGGCTGAAAACAAAAGAGAACATGAACTATCTGCAATTCATCGGAAAAAAACACAGGACACAAGGTCCCACCTGGTGGCACCTCTCAGTCTAGCACAACTCACTGGATAAATCTGACCAAACCTGCTTTTTCTTGTCTGCAGCACACAAACATGGAAAAGGTGATGTGTCTGAGTTAACATCAGAGACTCGAGTCTACCAAAGTATTTACACTACTATTAACCTGCAGTCCAGATATCAGATAATTTTGCTGATCTGGCTCAAAACTCTTTTTCTCTTCATTAGAAGTTGAAGTTCAGGCCAAGTGCAGAATAGGTCCCCAAATCATTTGGCTGTTTTCAAAGAACTAACTTCACAAAAAAAAAAGTGATTTTTTTCCATTTCTTTTACAGTGAATTTTGCTGCAAAAACTTCCAATGGCAAATATGGAAATATAACAAAATCCCATGGCTCCTCCTAAAACAGAAGCATTCTGTCCTGAAAGAGGAAGAGGTATAATATTTGAGGGGAACAAAAATACCCCTTCTCTGTTAAGAGAGTGAAAACCATGTATTATAAGAAGGGTCGTTTACATTTGACTAGATCATTTAGTTGAGCTCCAAAGGGAGCTCCTAGTCCTGACAGCCAACATCTCTTGAGAACACAAGCCTGAGTTCCTTTAACAAACAGAATCTCCATCTCTAATCATTAGTAAAAAAAAAGGCCTTCTAAATATAAATTAAGTGTGAACAAATGAGGTGAACAAAATTAGGAAGCAAGACCACTTCTCCTTCACTTGTCATCTTGGAAGCCTAACCAGCCAGTCAGAGCACGTAAGAAAGGTCGAACAGAATTCAGCTGGTGCAAAGCTGAGTGTGACTATTATGTCATTTTGAGGATAAACTCAACCAAATGTTGCCCAAACGTATTTCTGAAATATAACCCTTCAAAATCACAGTATGATGCCGCACAGAAAAAGCCACGCTCTAGAAATTCACTACTTCAAACGTCTCAACATCACTGTTACCCAGATTACTGCAGCCTATACTCTACAGATAAAACTTTTGAGTTTCTCTCTTAAAAAAAAAATACTTTAGCACAAGACAAACCAAAAGAGAGAACTTTAAAGAGCACACATGAAACTCAAAACTCTTACACCAGCAACAAAAACAACAAAGGCGCCAGCCAGAAATTGGCTCCCTGAGTCACTTGGATTGACCAGTTCTGGAATAGCAAAATCCCACTGTATTAATCATTTGGAAAGACACACATTTCCAGTGACCTCTGTTAAGGATCTGAGCAACAAAACTGTTTTTAGTGGTTTCTAAGCATGTCAGAGTTTAGTCTCCCTCTCTGCAATGTCTGTCTAATTGGATTTGGAGGAGATGGAAAATGATGGAGGGAGAGGAAAAAACCCTCTAAAATCCAGGCCAGAAGAGATTCTCTTATTCACATTAAGCAATTGCTAGCAAAGACAGAAGTGTGTTGGGAGCAGGGGAAGATGCCTTAGGGTTAGGAAACCAGGATCCAGTCTTAAGCAGTTTTACAGAATGAAGGTGGCAGCATCTATACAATGTAACTGGTGAGAAGTGGCAGCTGCTGATAACCTATCTAGTGAATGCAGTTCCACTAGAGCTCACTGACACTGCACGGAGAATGCCATCTCCCACTCTCTGCTTTGTAACCATCTCTTTTTTCAGCAAAAATACTTAGGGAAAGAAAGACAAAAAAAAAAGGGTCACGCAGGCTGAATTCAGCTGGAATTTTCCACGGGCCTGTCTGCACTTACTTCAGCGTCTCGATCTTTCGCAGCCTCGTAGATCTTGGAACCGCTCTTTCCAAAAGAAGTTCTGTAGTAATTTTTGACATTTTTTTATCTCCAACCCTCTGCTTGTATCACGGCTCAGTCAGCTGCAGGATCTCTTCTTGTAACCTGGTAAAACAAACAGGAACAAGAGGAAGCCCTTTCAACTGACTCCAAAATGGGGGAGGAAAAAAGGTTGTAAGGTTAGCTACTGATTTTGCTACTGTGTTTGAAGTTGCCTTTTTAATACGCTTGAAATGAAAATACCAGAGACTTTTATTATTCTGGGCACACACTCCCAAGGCACTGACACTACCCAGCTCCGAAACAACAGTGATACCTCCCTCGGCTATTAAAGTGACTGCCTGGCTGTCGATGAACGCTGTCCATGGGGTGACAGCACTCGGGACCAGGACAGTCTCACAGTTACCTCTTTGTACCTCTCCTGAGCAACAGGGCTCTGCTCCAAGAACTCCAACACGCTTTCAAATAAACAGCAACAGTAAGAATAAATACACCTGTCGTGAACGCCTTCCTCCCAAGGAAATGACACAGTGCGCTCGCTAGCCTGACCAGATGGAGAGACTCTTGGCTGACAACTTCTACATTCCTTAAAATTTTTGAAAACTGAATGAATTACCAGAAACGTAAACAGCCACCATAATAAAAACATCATTTCCTCACCGAGGGAAAAAATATCAACAGCATTCTGTATGTTACTGGGAATTAACAAGGGTTTCCATGCATTGTTGTGGATAGGATAGTACACGCACACAAACAGATGCACTGATATTTAGAATAATAAGACTGACAGGGCCAAAGTAGCTTCATGAAATTACTGGTCCGTGGCTTAGTGCTCTCTCTGACACAGATTCCAAGAGAGGGAAATAAAAAAGAGCTCCAAGGCCAGGCTCGCTACTGTCCTTTTGTGTTAGTCTCACCACTGCCTGAACACCACGGCGGTAGATGGTGAGGAGCACACGAGGCACTAAGCTGTCCTCGGGCCTGACTTCAGCGCCAGAACACACCTACAGCACCTGGACCATTGGGTTTGACAAGCAATAGGGCGCTGCTTCGTTAACACTTGTAAGTAAGGACAATACTTCACGTATGGAATATTTCACGCCAGCATAAAGAGCATTGAGGTTGAAAAAACAGCACGAGCAGCAGCAGTCCAGGATTTCATCCTTCAAGTGACAGAACTGTCACCAAAAGCCCAACCCGAGGATCAGGCCTTTACCTGCTGAACCCAATAAACCTCCCGAAGCTCCAGCATCTATATGTAAAATTTGACACCAGCCACCGTGGATGTTCCCATCACCCTCTTTTTGACCACACCGACACTGCAAACACAGTGACACCCCGGGAGCCACAGGGAAGACACATCAAGGCCCTATCGCCACAACAGCACGGGTGCCACCACAGAAGGTACGTGCAATTAATTACCCTGACGAACACCCCATCACTCAGCCTAACCGGGAACTGCCACCAACCCTCCTCCCGGGGCTGGCAGCCCTACAGCAGGCTATGGATTCAGGCTAAGGTAGCGCTGCGGAGACACAAACGAGTTTAATTTGAAGCCCCCCGCACCAGCTGGAGCGTCACATCGCCTCAGCCGAGGTGGGCCCGGCGCTGCCATCACCGCGATGGGGACAGCCCCGCCGCCGGCCTGTCAGCCCATCCTCTCACCGCCTTCCCGGCGGCCCATCAGACGGCGGGCAGGGTCAGTGGCGCTCGATTCGCGCCGAGGCGGCCGGGTGGAGCCGCGGTGGCCGCCTCACGCCTCCCCGAGCCCTCAGACCGCCGTGAGGGCCGGCGCCGGGCCGCGGCCTGAGGCGCCCTCCCGCGGGGTCTAAGCGCGTTGGGTGGCGTGACTACAACTCCCAGCAGCCCCCGCGGCACGGCTGGGCATCGCACCTCTGCTCGGCGCCGCGGGGGATGCTGGGAGAGCGAGTCCGCGTGCTCCAACCACCACCTCCGCTCACCGACCGACCGGCCTGTGCC